CTCGTATTGTCGCCGTCAGGAGGTTTCGGGCCAAGCGAATGTAATATATCCAGGAGGTATAATTACCCCAGAATGCAACAATTGAGCCAAGTCTGTCCAAGGACAAAAAAGTCGGTCAAAAATATGAACGATTTCGAATGATTGGGGCAGTAAAGGGTAAAGAGCGCCGTTCTCTCATTCCGCAAGTGGTATTCGGTAGCAATAAAGCGCAACCTGCTCTTAATGCACGAAGTGCGACTCTTCCTTGTACTTGATCGGTAGCACGCTATGGCTTCATTCACCTAAACCACACGCATACTATGCTATGGACTTGTACAAAAGTGAAGCCCTCAAGCAATGAGAACTTTCAAACCACCTCCTCTAGCGGGACCTCCACACCTCGAAAGTGCAGTCTTCCTCTCTTTCGGGTTAGTGACCGCACAATATCGCAGGATCAGAATGCTTCCACTAGATGTGATAGCAACAAAGTCGGGCCAAAAATACCCCCATTTACGACGTGGATCCGAGAGCTGTTGGCCGAGATGGCGAGTGTGGCGTGAAAAGAACTACTACATATGGCGAAGTCCGTGTTATGCAAACATCAAATATTGTAATCAAAAAGAGGTCAAAACTTTCGGTTCAAGTGCTTGAAGCAGATATGAAGGTCTATTGGGCCCCTGCTTGAGCCACTAGGTGAAAGTGCAATTCCTCTCGAAAGTCATCCACAGGGCTCAATAAGGAGCAGAGTGGGGCCCTGATGTCCGAACTGGTACGTAAAACTACTTTCCAAGTGTTTAGCATACGTTTCAAGAAAAAGCAAAACTACGAAATGCATCAAGGATCTGAACCTTTGTCCCACCGCTACGAGCCCGCTCACCTACCTGCTGCGCCATCGAGCCACGGCTGCGGTTGTGTCACGAGGGGTTCACAAGCGCAAAGTATGGGCAGGGGCCCACCGCAATGGTTAAGCACAGTAGGAAAAAAGGTCCGTAACTTCTCTCCCAGAATCGTTTAGCAGATTTGGAAGTCAGATCTGAAATCAGCGTCCGAGTATGCTTCTACTAGTATGCATCTCATTCTGAAGGCCATGGCGAGTTGGTATCTTCCCCTTGTTAGGGTTGTAACCCTTTCAGGCCGAATGACTCGGTGGTTCAG